CATGTAGTTTAGATCGTGGTTTCAAGAGACCAGGAATAACAATTAATGTACTCAAACCGTCTTCATCAGCGGCGGCAGGTGACAAATAAGTGTGAGAACGGTTAGTCGTGAAGGTAAGATAATTACTAACAGGTATATGAAGGGTTTTATTATGGAGGATTCGGTCTCCCTTGCTGTCCACATTGGGGAGAGATGTTTCTTGAGGAGGTCTTAACGACCTGGCAGCGTGACCGCACAGCTCAACGGACAAATGCTTCAGGGCCGGTCACGCACGACCTTTTTGTGAGAAGTTTTTAGTGATTGCTCCGCTCCTTAAATGGCCTTACCACCGGAGACCGAAATCCGTGAGGTAAGGTGAGGTGCGACATTTCTAGATTCGATCTTTTCTAACCCCTACCTTCTTTGTGAGAAGGCAGCATCGCCGCAGATGCTGGTTGTCCGAGGGAAACACCTTACTGCTGTCACACCCCTCTACAGTCAGCAGTACCACTGCGCCCTCAGACCTTAAGTAGCTGCTTATAGTCTCATTGTTCTCCAATCGACCTGCCTGGCATGGTAGAACCTTCAGGAACATGTGTTCAAGCCAATATAGCTCGGTTGAGTCATCACGATACAAGAACGGAGAGAGTAGACAATCCTGACGGACACCACTTGAAGTAATCAATTCCAAAGATATTTCGCCATAAACTATTACTCGACCAGTAGTGTTCGAGTTGTGAGCTTCTATGAGGTTAATATACTTCTTCGGTACACCTTTTAATGACAGGCATCACGATCAACAGGGTCGACTGCCGCTTTAAGGTCGAGAAATACTACTATTGTGCGACGTCTGAACGTGTCTTTGTTCTAGGACCTGAGATAGTTTGTATATCTGGTCTATACATATAGGTCCAGGTCTGAAACCAACCTGTTTTCAATAGTCTTCTCTTGAAGAGCTATCATTAAGCTTCCGAGTACTATTTAGGCCAATATTTCGGAAACTATAATAGCTACACTTATTCTTCTGTAATTGTCACAAGAGGACTTCTGCCCTTAGAGCTCAATGTTGTTTTTGCGCAAGCGAGGCCACGGGAAGCAGCAGCAGGGCTCCAGATGCACGTAGCGTAAATCCAGACGGTTCTTTATCTTAACAAATTAATGGTTTCGCTCGGATTCCGAACGCGCGTTTTGGAGACGCAGCATACATCGATGGCACCAGATTCTAAAGTCTTAGCTAGTGAAGCTTGTTGTTTTACGTAGCACAATGTCCGGACATTAAAAGCTCCAACATGTAGTTTAGATCGTGGTTTCAAGAGACCAGGAATAACAATTAATGTACTCAAACCGTCTTCATCAGCGGCGGCAGGTGACAAATAAGTGTGAGAACGGTTAGTCGTGAAGGTAAGATAATTACTAACAGGTATATGAAGGGTTTTATTATGGAGGATTCGGTCTCCCTTGCTGTCCACATTGGGGAGAGATGTTTCTTGAGGAGGTCTTAACGACCTGGCAGCGTGACCGCACAGCTCAACGGACAAATGCTTCAGGGCCGGTCACGCACGACCTTTTTGTGAGAAGTTTTTAGTGATTGCTCCGCTCCTTAAATGGCCTTACCACCGGAGACCGAAATCCGTGAGGTAAGGTGAGGTGCGACATTTCTAGATTCGATCTTTTCTAACCCCTACCTTCTTTGTGAGAAGGCAGCATCGCCGCAGATGCTGGTTGTCCGAGGGAAACACCTTACTGCTGTCACACCCCTCTACAGTCAGCAGTACCACTGCGCCCTCAGACCTTAAGTAGCTGCTTATAGTCTCATTGTTCTCCAATCGACCTGCCTGGCATGGTAGAACCTTCAGGAACATGTGTTCAAGCCAATATAGCTCGGTTGAGTCATCACGATACAAGAACGGAGAGAGTAGACAATCCTGACGGACACCACTTGAAGTAATCAATTCCAAAGATATTTCGCCATAAACTATTACTCGACCAGTAGTGTTCGAGTTGTGAGCTTCTATGAGGTTAATATACTTCTTCGGTACACCTTTTAATGACAGGCATCACGATCAACAGGGTCGACTGCCGCTTTAAGGTCGAGAAATACTACTATTGTGCGACGTCTGAACGTGTCTTTGTTCTAGGACCTGAGATAGTTTGTATATCTGGTCTATACATATAGGTCCAGGTCTGAAACCAACCTGTTTTCAATAGTCTTCTCTTGAAGAGCTATCATTAAGCTTCCGAGTACTATTTAGGCCAATATTTCGGAAACTATAATAGCTACACTTATTCTTCTGTAATTGTCACAAGAGGACTTCTGCCCTTAGAGCTCAATGTTGTTTTTGCGCAAGCGAGGCCACGGGAAGCAGCAGCAGGGCTCCAGATGCACGTAGCGTAAATCCAGACGGTTCTTTATCTTAACAAATTAATGGTTTCGCTCGGATTCCGAACGCGCGTTTCGGAGACGCAGCATACATCGATGGCACCAGATTCTAAAGTCTTAGCTAGTGAAGCTTGTTGTTTTACGTAGCACAATGTCCGGACATTAAAAGCTCCAACATGTAGTTTAGATCGTGGTTTCAAGAGACCAGGAATAACAATTAATGTACTCAAACCGTCTTCATCAGCGGCGGCAGGTGACAAATAAGTGTGAGAACGGTTAGTCGTGAAGGTAAGATAATTACTAACAGGTATATGAAGGGTTTTATTATGGAGGATTCGGTCTCCCTTGCTGTCCACATTGGGGAGAGATGTTTCTTGAGGAGGTCTTAACGACCTGGCAGCGTGACCGCACAGCTCAACGGACAAATGCTTCAGGGCCGGTCACGCACGACCTTTTTGTGAGAAGTTTTTAGTGATTGCTCCGCTCCTTAAATGGCCTTACCACCGGAGACCGAAATCCGTGAGGTAAGGTGAGGTGCGACATTTCTAGATTCGATCTTTTCTAACCCCTACCTTCTTTGTGAGAAGGCAGCATCGCCGCAGATGCTGGTTGTCCGAGGGAAACACCTTACTGCTGTCACACCCCTCTACAGTCAGCAGTACCACTGCGCCCTCAGACCTTAAGTAGCTGCTTATAGTCTCATTGTTCTCCAATCGACCTGCCTGGCATGGTAGAACCTTCAGGAACATGTGTTCAAGCCAATATAGCTCGGTTGAGTCATCACGATACAAGAACGGAGAGAGTAGACAATCCTGACGGACACCACTTGAAGTAATCAATTCCAAAGATATTTCGCCATAAACTATTACTCGACCAGTAGTGTTCGAGTTGTGAGCTTCTATGAGGTTAATATACTTCTTCGGTACACCTTTTAATGACAGGCATCACGATCAACAGGGTCGACTGCCGCTTTAAGGTCGAGAAATACTACTATTGTGCGACGGTCTGAACGTGTCTTTGTTCTAGGACCTGAGATAGTTTGTATATCTGGTCTATACATATAGGTCCAGGTCTGAAATCAACCTGGTTTTCAATAGTCTTCTCTTGAAGAGCTATCATTAAGCTTCCGAGTACTATTTAGGCCAATATTTCGGAAACTATAATAGCTACACTTATTCTTCTGTAACTGTCACAAGAGGACTTCTGCCCTTAGAGCTCAATGTTGTTTTTGCGCAAGCGAGGCCACGGGAAGCAGCAGCAGGGCTCCAGATGCACGTAGCGTAAATCCAGACGGTTCTTTATCTTAACAAATTAATGGTTTCGCTCGGATTCCGAACGCGCGTTTCGGAGACGCAGCATACATCGATGGCACCAGATTCTAAAGTCTTAGCTAGTGAAGCTTGTTGTTTTACGTAGCACAATGTCCGGACATTAAAAGCTCCAACATGTAGTTTAGATCGTGGTTTCAAGAGACCAGGAATAACAATTAATGTACTCAAACCGTCTTCATCAGCGGCGGCAGGTGACAAATAAGTGTGAGAACGGTTAGTCGTGAAGGTAAGATAATTACTAACAGGTATATGAAGGGTTTTATTATGGAGGATTCGGTCTCCCTTGCTGTCCACATTGGGGAGAGATGTTTCTTGAGGAGGTCTTAACGACCTGGCAGCGTGACCGCACAGCTCAACGGACAAATGCTTCAGGGCCGGTCACGCACGACCTTTTTGTGAGAAGTTTTTAGTGATTGCTCCGCTCCTTAAATGGCCTTACCACCGGAGACCGAAATCCGTGAGGTAAGGTGAGGTGCGACATTTCTAGATTCGATCTTTTCTAACCCCTACCTTCTTTGTGAGAAGGCAGCATCGCTGCAGATGCTGGTTGTCCGAGGGAAACACCTTACTGCTGTCACACCCCTCTACAGTCAGCAGTACCACTGCGCCCTCAGACCTTAAGTAGTTGCTTATAGTCTCATTGTTCTCCAATCGACCTGCCTGGCATGGTAGAACCTTCAGGAACATGTGTTCAAGTCAATATAACTCGGTTGGGTCATCACGATAGGCAAACCCGACCGCCACGTCAAGGTATCAGCTACCGTTGGGACGTTTACCAGTATCAGTCTTTCTATCATATCTATGAGAGTTATATTTTGCTGGCTGGTTTTTGAAATTATTGGTAGATTTATACACAAAACAGATTACCCGTCTTTTTATGGCTTCCACTGATTGAATACGTCTCAACTTTGATCAGAAAAACTACATAACATTTTGATTTAAAATTTTCTGCTCAATGTTGCTTAACGGTTCTGCTTTGCCACAAATACATCTAAGGTACCTGCTGATATTCGGTAACAATACCATGTGTTGTGATGAGGCTAAATGAAATAAGCTTTCAGTATAATAGATTTAAATTGTTGAATTCATTTTGCAGTATCTTTTCAATCGAACTTTAGGGAACACGACTGTTTTATTTAACATTTTAACTAATTTTTTTAATATCATCCACATAAAACCTGATTTTTTAGCTCCTGACAGTACTATTCTTTGACTTCATAGGCTTTTGGCTTCAAAGTTTTCCTGTTTTATATAAATTACTTAGTTGTATATGGTTAGCCATACAAGTCCATCAACATCATAAAAATTACCTGCGGATAAGCTTGTCTTGAATCAGATTTCGACAACCAGTTAACTGACTCACTATCAACTGTTTTATTTGCATCTTGAAATCCTTTTGCATGTTGGATGGATACCTGATTATTTGCGGGAATGGAGAAATTATCGGCGATTCCCTCCTGAAGTCGCATAGCCGCAAATTCTTGACTTGGAGGGACTAAAATATTTGTAGACGCAGATGTGTTAACAACTTTAGCTCCAAGAGACTCGGTACTCTCATGTCTTAAATCGAGAGCCGGAAAACCGTTACTTCCATCCGGGGTAGGTGAAGAAGGATTAGACTGCCTAGTGCTTGTTGTACCTTCCTGACGATTTTTTCGGCGCCCCAGAGTATTTCGTAAGCTTGAAAATATACCCTGAAAATGTAATGTTATTTGTAAATAGTACTAGATACTTACCTGTTTTGAACGTTTAACGTAATTGCTAGGCACATAGCCAGTGTTTCCGAATGCATTCATTACCTTCCACCAATGCTGGCTATCATCGATAAGCGTCAACCGTTCACCTTTCTGAATGCCAAGCTCGTGACCATCTGATGCCTTATAATCAAACTTCGCCACCACAAAATCCGTGTTTTTATGCGACATCATTACTTTACAAAAAAATATATAAATCTTTAATTAGAGTAATAACAGTAATGAACGAATTAGATGAATAAGAAGAGAACTTATAGAATATTTATAACGATTATACCACACATAAATCTCGAAAATCATAGGTGGAGAATAGCATTTAGTCCCCTTAATCACAATAGATGAAAGGAACAAGGGACTTGTAAATCGATGATTAGTGATCACCTACAACGTAGAACTTCGTACGTACGTACATCAGTTCAATCTGCCATACCACATTAGCACAGAGAGATGGTTAGTGGACGACGAAACTGAAAGCTTAGTCACTAAACACAAAACAGAAGTAAATGGCTGACAAACACTACTATTTAGACGACTAATAAAGTACGATGCATAAACTGATATAACTAAAATGAAATCACGTAAATTATTCACTACGCATAGATTGATGTACATGACAATAACTACGATTTATTTTATAGGTACTGGTGACATTACTAATCCAAAGCTTTGAAGATAAGGAAATGAATAATTCCGATTACTAAAAGTAAAGTGGCTAAACCAGTGAAGACATTACTTTTAACTAAATACACACGATGATCGACTTAAGCTAAACAGTAAATAAAAGACAGGAGTTAGCTGAGCACATCACTCAAGGATAGTAAATAGAACGGTCCGTTGTGTTTGGTTTATTAGATGTATATCTTTTTATAGTCCCACTCAACAATTCCGTTTTGGTGTTTTAAAAGATTTTTCCAGATGACATCAGAAAACACAAGTTGAAGAATGGCAAGACTGCTAAACCCTAATAACTCTCCTAGTTTAGAATGGATAGTACAAATATTTGGGTAGTCTCTGCCTTAACACATACGTTTCAGTCAGTTATAAACATCGCAGAACCTGGCAAATATGCACATCGCCCCAAGTCACTATACACCAGCGCAGAGAGATACCATAGTAGAAGTTTTAGTATTAGTAGAAGAAAAAATAGGCTCAGAATATATTACTTGAGAACATACGAATTTACGGAATAGAAAAGTATGAGATAGTTTTGGAACTCAAGATCTAAGGGAAGATAGAGTGAATGTAAGATTGTGGATTATTCTGAACGATGTCATCAAATATCTCCAACCACTGTTCACAATAATTGCAAGTACACCAACCAGATAGTCTGTACTATCCAACAGTCCCTGAAATCACGGATTGATGTTCAGTCTTACTTTGCCGCCCCTAATTCCCTAATTTCAACCAGTCAGCAACAACGTAAAACTTGGCACATATGTACATCAGTTCAAGTCGCCATACACATCAGCACAATGAGACGGAATCGTCTATTTAAATCCCACCGGTAAAGGTAGTAATGGTATCATCGGTAATGGAAAAGATTTGGGATAGATTCGACATATCCGAATGAAATAAAAGTCATGAAGAATGAGTTACATCCTAAGCTTCCTCGATTTTGATTCTGAGAGCGTAGCACTGGAATATTCCCGTTTTTGAAGTGAGCATTAAGAGTAAGAGCTCAATATTATGGATGTAAAACGAGACTAGGAAAAATGGAAGGACTAATCAGATATAACGTAGATGCAGTCCGATTTTGGCACAAAAAAGTGAGCCCATATGACTAAATGGCATTCTGACGCTATGTTCATGTCAGTTACGAAAACTCTTGCGTTAATTCCTAACCCTAACCCTTGGTTTTAGTCCTTATCACAATCCCTCAAGTTATTTTTGTGACATTATTTCTACCGTAATGAGTGAATGCAGTATTTCGAAGCCACTCATCGCTCAACTGACGTTCATACACATGTGCCCCAACTATCAAGTACAAAGATCTTACATTGTTTAACAAAAAGCACCAGTCAACCAACCAATGTGCTGCAGCGGGTACTTGCTTTCGGTATTTGTATCTGACATATGCCTTTTACTTTTCTGAATATTCCCAGATTTTTATCTTGAGTAAGCCTGAAGGTCAACTGATGAATAATACTCAAAGTAAACAAAATATGGCGACATTTAGAAAACAAACAAGCAGGAGTAAGATATGAAAATTGAGAGGCGTGACTTTCAGCAAGTAAGGTATTATATTTATGTGGAAGGTACGCCCTAAGTACAACCTACCACTTTTTAACAGCACATCGAATACTGCGCCTACAAATCATTGTTCAATAGATTTGGGATTTGCTGAATCCGTACTACTTAGTCTTTATATGTAAGGTAGAGTGATCTATGTCAGTCTTCACGATTTCGAATACTATGAAGACTAAATCTGACATTCAATATGCCAAGAGGAGATGTTGACTTCATATGATAAGTAATTCATGTATTCACTATCTCAAATACGGAACGAAACTGTTGATGTTTCTGAACCTTCAGGAGTATTCTCCGGATTGTGACCTTTGTATGGGAACAGTAAACTAGGCGCTACCTCCCGAAACATAGTCCAGTATATGGTCAGCTATATATATTTCATCACTTAGCTAGCAATTACATTGAACAGATCAAGATTCTTAGTCTGTCTTCATAAGTCAGATGAGAAAGAAGTAGAAACGTCGGCTCCGCTGTAATACATTTGCTTTATATATAAAAGGTCTTGGAGTGTAAGTCACTTGCTACAAATAAGGTCTCACATGGAACGGGCACAATATTCTGACTACACATTTATCATAGTTGAGTAATGACTTTTGCAAACTAAACAAATCCTTCCGTACATTATTGCTTGGTGCCTGGTCCCAAATCCAAAGGCAACACGGAATTCAGTGCGGCTTTATACGTCCAGAGTACGAATTGCACACTTCTGGGTACAAATGGTTCACAAACTTAATGCGGTTACTTTTGAATATTACAGAAACACCTCACAAACCTGCAAAAATCTGAATTCCGCTGATTGAAACCTCCTAATACTAACTTGTGATCGTCGAGGCTGTAACACCTAAATTCATATTGTCCATTACAAAGTTACGCTAGTCTTTTTTCAAATGACCCAAGGTGATGATTTGTTTCGGAGATGCGTAGCACAGCGCACGCGATCGGCATCGGGCGTGCATACATGACTGAGCAGCCACGCCTGCGATGTATGCAGTAAGGGTAATTAATTTAAAAACAATGTAAAAGACGCAGGACCGTTTATTCCAAGGATATATTTACTATATAATATGAAAACAACCTCTCTAAAATCTCCATCTAATGTCTACTGGCCTTTACACTCAGTTGGGAAATTCAAATCTCCCTACAGTCATATCTAACTATAGTCACTATGTATGATTTTCAAGATTTTTAAGTTGTTCACAACAGCAACGATGACTTTGTAACCCTAATCCGATCGTTACCCAATAAATAAAGAAAAGTTTGCCTTGAAAAATCTCTTGGTAAAATTCATGATTTTCTACAAAGCAAAACTTGTTCAAAACTCTCATAGGACTGGTCACCATCTGGTTTAAACATTTTGCGCATTTAATAATTTCTAGCCATATAATTGCAGTCTTTGATCTGATCAAACCTAGCAGAAATCAACAAGTCCCGACACTATCCCCGAACTTTTGAGGTGTTAAAGAAAACTCGAAGATCAGGTAAATGATTATTGTGGCGTTTCGTACTCTGAGCTGGACGTTTTTGTTCTCAACGTTCATTTTTCTTCTCAACAACATCATCAGCAGAAACTTCACTAGGAAGATAAGCATTTGAACTTCTCCACGCATGATTCATAGCTTCTTCTGTTGACCCTGATCTTGGTTTTCACTGCCTTAAACCTGCATTGTCCGCACTTTTATTTTCATGGTAATTTGATATTTAATATGGCTACAGTCATATTCTAGTAGTAACGGACTGGAAGCACTTATTCTTCTAGCAACGGAACCTATTATGGAAATTGGAAACTCGAAGGTGTAATATCGTTTTTGGTAATTGTCTTTATTTCCCTATTTAGTATAAATAGAACCGTTTTCTCCCAGAATTATTGTTTTTAGTCCCGGACTGGGTGAAACATGTATGAACCTCCACCTGGCGAGTTAAAGGTGAACTGCAAGAGTAGAAAATCCATAACATCGTCGTCAACTCATTTGTCACATCAGAAATATCCAGATTATTATCATCGTCATTGCGTCGTTTCTGGTTACACTAGCATTCGTAGAGTGAAACTCTTCCTTTGTTGCGTAACTCATCTCGCTACATGAAAGAACAGCATTAGTGTCGCAATTCGAAACCGATAAACTCACTTGTTGTTCTTCATGTTCCGTTTCATAGACACAAGATATGTGCACATCAGTAGCATCGTTGTCATACAACACTGTAGACTGACTGTTACTATCAAACGCTTTCTTCTCATCATCACTCGATTGACAGTCAACCGGAGCAGAAACAGTTACGGTTGCACAACCTTGTGCATATTCAATCAACTTTACATTTTCGACAACGCTGGATGACAACAAAACACTAGAAAGTTCATTCGATGAAGTTGATCGACTAGTCACTATAGGTGGACTGCTCACACTTTCTGTCTCTCTACAATCGCTGTCACTACTAAGATTCTGATGACTACTATCTCGATTGCTAGTCACAGCATCCCAAAGAGAACGAAGTTTAGGCTTCTTAATAATAGTACCATCATGTCGTTTCTTATGCTTCTCACCTTGGGTAGCAGTATGTGAGCGTAATGTACGATCATTTCGATGTCGATGAGTGTCTTTCAACTTCCATCGATCACTATTACCCGCAGGAGTATTATCAATACTATTATCATTAGTAGCCGCAGCTGTACAAGTAGCAGTCATCTCCCCATGACATCCATTCGACTCATGCACAGTGTCCAAATCTACTCGATCAACATTGCTTTCCTTACTAGGAATTCACTTAACTTCATTTATCTTATCACTGTTGGTAGTGCTCATCCCGATACTTGTAGTACAAGTCAAAGATGGTGGAGTGCGACACATGGACAATTTCATGCTCGATTCCTGATGCTGCATATTCAACACAACAGCATGTCCATTAAACCTAGATGACTCCTCACTGCACCTAGGGTAATGAATGTTAGCCGTCTCGGTAGTGCCATCACTGTGGCTGACGCTATTGCCACCGACGCCTACATTCTCCACGCTCAAACATCCGATTTCGTCTTGATCCGAAGTACTCAAAGAAGCTACATTAGTAACATCAACCGAAGAAACAGCACTACCTATGGTGATTCCACTATCGTTAGCATCACGTTTATTATTCACATCAACTACACTATTGATAGATACATGGGGTTTCACCTCCACCTTGACGTCATTGTTGTCCACAATGATGTTCCGACCATTCACAGTTAATGACGACTTGCGAGGTAGTTGGCATGCAGGCTTTAAAGCTAAGCTACCACTGCTGCCACTTTCACTAACACTATCAATGTTGCTATGACTACTTGGACTAGTATACAACCGTCCATCCGTTGACCGTAAACAAACATCAGCAGGACGCGCTAAGCTGCTGTTATCTTCCGCTTCAATATCATGATGCTCCGTAGAACTAGATACAGTAGCCCGCAGACATCCTGATTGCTCAGCAACATGAAATGCTGTGTCATTATTTACGCTCGTTGTCCTAGGATCAACTCTAGGTCGTGTCAAATAATTTACCCTACGTGAAGGGTTCCGAACATAAGCTTCATTCCGTACAGTTAAACCTGTTTTCGTGCGATTAGCTAATCGTCCAAATCTACTACTAGCTATCCTTGAACGAGACAAAATAAACTCAGTCAATTCATTGAATGTAGGCTCTCTATCCTCCTCGTCCCATTTAATTCCCAGCTCTGCCCACCGAACTTGCATACGTTGAGGTAGAAGTCTAACTATCCTGTCGAAAGTTACCAAGGAATTTAATTCAGAGGTATAATTCAGCTGTTCCAAGATCATAGCTACGTTTTGCATCCTAATTGCTTAATTCGATAACTGCTCTGGGTCGTTATAATCAGCATTCCCAGACCTAAACAACTCTTCTAACCTTTCACGGGCTATCAACTGCGTTTGACCAAAAAGCTGCTTTAAAATGTCTTTAGCCCTTTTGTAGCTTGACGAAGCTTCCATCATTAAGCACCATTCAACGGCAGCCTTTGCCTTACCGTTAAAGTAATGGATTAAATATAATGGGCGCAGATTGTCATCAACAACTCTAGGTTCTATAAACGTATCGAACCGTCTAATAAACCTAAAGTAATCACATTGTCGGCCGTTGAAGTAACTGCTTTCAACCTTTGGCAATTCTAAGCCAACCACCGGTGTCCTAGACATCAGATCTTTCCCAGGTACCTCAAAGTTCTCGTCCAAACTATGTCCTCTGGTACCCTCTAACGGTGGCTTACGGCAGTATGTACTAAACATAATATCATACTTATCAGAGATTGAACCCTTTAAACATGAAGTATCATCAGGCACTTGCCTTGCATTTCGCGATTCTTCATGTGCTCAAAATAGATTCTACAGCTAACACCTTTTGATCTATTTCTTGATCTTATGTTCTCTTATGAAATCACAGAATTGACTGATGTGATTTCGATGGTTTGGGCGGTACACCTGTTCCAAATGGTTTCAGTAATGGCGCTATAATTCCCGATATGCCTTTTATGTATGGAAGAATAATCCTTTTGTTGGTTCCTGTACCAGATGGTTCAAGTTGATATTTTTCTGAAGGAGTTGCGTGGGTAGCCGTTCTACTGGAAGATGGTGATCAAATATTTTCATTAATTTTTGTGCTTTGTGTGCTGCAGTGTTTTCTCTCTTTCGAATGAAGTTTGTAAGCAGATGATTCTCTGAGAATTGGATCTGAGAGGTTTGGTTTCTGAAATACTTGAGTCTCCAGTTTTTCTGTCAAAGTAGTAACAGCTAAGTAAGTTCAAGCACTATAAACGTCAGTTTTAATAAAATCTGAGCCAAAATTTTCCTTCAAACTTTAAAAAACAGGATCCTAAGCAACAGATTTTCGATACATCGAAAACGAAACTAATATGTAGGCATTTCAGCAGACGCTCATTCTTTCAAAAGTATAGGTGTCTAACTTAGTTGGCTCTTGAAACCCGTTTGTCGCAAAGTGTATATACTAGATACGGTATTGCAACGTAGTCTGTCTATTGATTATGATCAATTTTTATAACATTTCAGTCCCATTCTGCCAGTAAATATGTAAATAGAAAAATTTAAGAAAAGTCGATAGTTGATTTAGCAACAGAAAAAATTTAACAATGGTTAACAAGATTATAATGGTCTAACCATCATGACAGCGAAAGATTCACCCCAGTTGTTACCAACTGTTTCCTTTATTCCATTCAGTACGGGAAAATACCCTAATCAACCCAAGGGAGGAATGTTTGGAACCTGTACAGAATAGAGTTATGCTGAAATGCCTTAAAAGACTGAAGAACATCTAGGAAGATTGATAAAAGGATTGCTGCTTATTATCGAGATGTCAGAGAAATGAAGGTTTTTAGAAGGAAAAACGGCAATAACTTGACACTGAACTAATTTCACGTAATTCGAAGAAGGCATTTAAGCACTTTTTAAGTCTCAGACTAAAGTAAACAGTTTGATATCAGGAAGAATTAAGTATAAAAAAGTGAAAAGGTAAACTTTCGTTCAGCTAGTAGCATGAAGATTGTTATTTCAAGGGTATTGAAAGAAGAGTAAACTGCGAAGCACACAAGTCTTTCGTGCTGTACACAAACATTTTTGTAAACAGCGGTCGATAAAGCAGAAAGAAGGAGCAAATCAAAGGTAAAAGGCCTTTTTTGGCACAGCAGACTGGGTTAAAAAAGATGAAGGACTTTCATCTCTTCACAGTGCAGTGTTTTATTTCAGAGAAATTAGAATAGCGATATGTGTTTATCCAGCTTTATATGTTACTTTCAGCAAAAATGGGGAGTAACCCAACGAAAGGACTGAAGATTTCTGTCTTCTTTAAGTTTTCGCATGATTTCTCTGATGCC